CTGATGACGCAAGGGATGCAGAGCCTCTCACACCAAATCATCTGCTGCTCCTGAGGTCAAAAAATGCTCTACCACCTGATGTGTTCCAGAAACATGATCTGTATGGACGTCGACGCTGGCGGCAGATTCAATACCTGGCAGACTTATTTTGGCGCAGGTGGGTGAAGGAATACCTACCTTCCTTACAACAGCGGCAGAAGTGGCTGAAAGAGACGAGAAATCTGGAGGAAGGTGACATCGTGCTGATTATCGACAATCTGCCGAGGAACAAGTGGTTGACGGGAAGAGTAATCGAAACCTATCCTGGGAAGGACAAGCTCGTCCGATCGGTGAAGCTGAAACATAGCACCGGTATCCTAGTCAGGCCTGTGCAGAAACTATGTCTTTTGGAAGAAGCAGATAGCGTATTGGTGAACCACAGCGACTAATTGGAGCATTCATTTCTTATGTGAGATAATTATATTGATGCACGGTGAATTAAACGTGCGAGGTGAGAGCCTAGCGCCGCCTCTTGTGAATTTTTGTGTCGCAATTTTCCTGATCCGTGACGAGCGTAAGATCCTGATCATCATGTTTCAGTTTTGGAAGAAGCAAAGAGCGTAAATTGGTGAACCGTGGAGAGCGATCTCAATTTAAATGGATCCACAGCGAAGAACGACTAAATTGGAGCATTAGTTTCTTATGTGAGATAATTATATTTGATGCACGATGAATTAAACGTGCGAGGTGAGAGCCTAGCGCCGCCTCTTGTGAATTTTTTATGTCACGATTATCCTGATCCGTGACAAGCGAAAGATCCTGATCATCATATTCAAGTTAGACTGACGTCGACGCAAGACAGAACTCGTTTACAGCAACAAACTTGTTTAAGCGCAAGAAATTGATAAAAACAGTCCTCAGACTTTATACAAGACTATTTGCGGTAACATTGTGCCCTTGAGGTAAATCGGGCACGTTATATTTGAGGACAGTGGACTCTACTCTTGAAGAGTAATAAACATTTCAGCCTTGTTATAGACTATGTCATATTATGTTTATTAGTCAATACTTGAAGAAAGACTATAATGGACTTCAGAATACATGTATTCTATATATGTATATGTATACATACATACATACATACATACATGTATTCATTTCAGTATTGAACTGAGACTATTGCTGAAAGATTTTTTTTGTTCGAACGATATTCATACGTAATTTCTTACATGTTTTTTCCTAAGAGCAGGAGTTAAATATTTGACCACTACAAATGAGAATAATTTGTCATGATAACATGTTATTTGGTCAATGCATGAGCATACAAATATGTAGTGTCTAGTTCAATTTGAAACTTTAAAGAACCGAATTGTGTTGATATTTGATGCATAGACCCAAAAGAGGATATTTGATATGAAGGGGATAGTTGAACTAAAGTTTTGTATACCGGAAGTAAATTGACAATTTACTCAAGATTGCGAATGATGAGAAAGTTTAATCACAGAAGCACCATTTTCTGAATTTGAAAATCATTTTTTGTGTGTAACCCTGTTGTACTTAGTGGTGGGCTACTGCATTTTGCTTGAAAACTCACAAAAAAGGGGGTTTAGTTTCAAGAATCGAGTACTGAAATACACAGTTCTGAGTAGTTAGCAGCTCTAGTGCATAGAGGTACATGTAGAATCATTATGTTTGAGCTGATATATTTCGTATTTTCCTTTGGTAATTCACTAGATAACTCAAAGTGTGTAAGGAATGTCAAGGACTTTAACAATCCTTGTTATTGTTATTTGCTACAGAGTGTCAACAATTGTGTTGAGATTTAGTTAATGTGTACTCTATTAAGGCAACTGATCGTTTTGCCCAATGTTACTTTAATTGACCTGTCGGTATACATTTTTAGACGACAAGTGTTTGTTGTGTATAGGCTATAAATTCACCCTAAAGGCATTTACTGTAATGTACTACATTGTGTAAATGAAATTAATGGAATGTGCTATGCAGAGTTGAGTGTAAATTCTGAATGTTTAGTTGTGTTTTATTAACAGAAAAGTTAGACAATTTGAATGGAAGTTGAAGTTATTTGGATAAATGCTTTGCTGTGGCTACGCATTTAAGGGGCCGGGATGTAAGATTTAGAAAGTTTTCTGTCATGACGTCGGTTCAGATTAACCATAATTTCATTTGGTCGTAAGAGGGCGTTTGTAGTTCGCCAGCCTAAAAGTCACGAAATTTGAAATGTTTTGTGGACAGTGATTCCATCAGTAATCCCCGACAATCGAGACAAGCCCAATGTTGTAAGTACTATAAAGCTGTTATTTGTATAAATCAATCTTTAATTGTTTGTATGAGGCCAAAAATGGCACAAGATATAAATCTAGTTTTCTGTAATTTTAAGATGAAAAGTACGTTAAAATGTTGTCTGTGCATATGTAGCACCACATATAGACAAACGTAGGATAACGTGTGTGAATGCACAATTTGTGCATATATCAGTTTGTGTTGAGGATAATCTAGATTTGTGTGTAGTGAGTGATGATAATTGACATGAAACAAGAGTATGAATTGTTTTCCTTGGTTATAAAGAATGTCAAGGGTGTAGAAGCAAATAGGAATTTAGTTCAGGAACCAAGTAAAGAGTGTAAGATAGAGGCAGGAAATAAGGCTGGTCGAGGGTTTATTTGTGTATGACGTTAACCTACAAGATAGAGAGGTATGATTTGTAAGGGTTATATTTGTAAACAAAGGTAGAATTTGAGACAGTTCATTAGAATAAGATAAATGAGGCAGTTATACAGTTTGTGTTTGCACAAGTGAGCTTTACTCACATAGTTTATTCTTGAAGGTTTTCTTTACTCAGTTATGCATATTAAGGTCATTTATGGCAAGCTAGTTGTGCGATACAATAGATGTTTGTTTATTCATGTGAATTTGTACACATGCTTATGATTGCTTGTTTGTTTTATTGATATTACAGATGAACTGCATTTTATGCACGTATCTCAACTTGGATGTCGTCGTCCTTTCTTTAAGCCTACTGTTGGGGTCACTTCAGCAGAATTTAACGTCACAAGAATAAATAAGTCTTCTCAAGACTCCTTGGATTATTCATATTTTTTCATGCCCGTCTGCACTAATTTGGCCAGGGGATCTATACCTCCCTGCAACGTCACTGACAGGTGGTTATCTCATCAAATCAGCTCTCAATTAACATAAGAAACAGAGGATCATGTGGACGGCCAACAGGCACTGTTTGTTATATAGAGGGCGCAAGTAGCTACGTAGTGCAGTGGGGGTTAAATAATCTTCTTGGTAATAGCATCATATAGGGCTGTCTTCAAACTATCACTTTTCAATTGATCTTTAGTTGTTTAATATTTATTGCAATTAATGTATTTCTTAGGATATGTTATCTTTCCCCCTCTCTTGCTCCATCCCTTTTGATTATTTCTCTGTTCTTCCACATCTCTCTACACTTTCAATTGTTCTTGTCATCCGTTTCTTCACACATCTCTCTCTCTCTCTGCCATTCATCTCTCTCTCTCTTCAGCCTCTTATTCCTCCATTACTAGTCGCCTCTCCCACTGTTTGACTATCAAGGTTTTTGTTTTATTTAAAATGAAACTGAGCTGTAATGTCTCAAACTTCCATTGTATTTTAGTGTATTTTTCTTCCTCATTGTTTTAAACAAATTCTGCTCTTCCCCACATTTATCCAATCACATTCATGTTCATCAAACTTAATATTCATCTTTAAACATGGACATCAATTAAATTTCCTTAAACATAATAAAAACGCAAGACAAATCCTTCATCCAAGATAAAAATTTGTATATTTAGTATATTTTCTATTCAATGAAGATTAACATGTATTGATCTCATAACATTGAAAGTCAGTATTTTGTAATCATTGAACAGTGCAATCTTAATTAGTAAGGTAAATATATGTATTGCAAAAAAAAAAAGCAAACATCATTTTTTTTTTTAATAAGAGCGTAGGCCTACAAATCACCAAATCATATTTTGTTCTGTGTGTTAGTGGTTCCAGGGGACCGTCAAATTTCTGGACTATATCCCATTAAAACGTGTGTTATAGAATAAACACCCTTATCCATGGGATAGACCCAGGTCTGTATACTATCAAAAATAAGAACTTATAACAATAGATATATGTCCTTTCCCACTTGTTTAACTTATTCAATTAGAAATTACAAGGATAATGTATAACCACTAAAAAAGACATCTACGATCAATAAACAGGCATAGTTCTATAGCATCGCTGGATTAAATTTAAGTACCGGTAGACAATTTTGAGATTGAATTCATCTATACAATTTCCCTGTAGACCGAAATTTTAATATACATATAATATAAGAAATATTACTATACAATATGGTCCATGGTAACATCAGAATATTAGTTTTAAAGTTAATAAATATTATTTCCTCCACATATATGTAACTATAATGTACTTTGTTTCAGAATCCGTTTACAAGAAACCGTCTATAGCATACCACCGATCTCTTTGGATATTGATACCTCATGATACTGTTACTATTGGCACCACCCTCCATCTCCTATTCCTATCTCCACTCGATTCTTCTTCCTCCTCTTCTTTATTTTTTCCTTTTCTTCTTCTCTTCCTCTTCTTCTTTCTCATCATTTCTCCTTAATCTTACCATCTTCTTCTTTTTTGTGTGTCTTTCTTTACTCTACACCATTATCATGTTCTTCTTCACTTTTCCTCATCTCCTTTATATATATAAAATGATTTAGGGAGATCAAATAAGCATTTTAAAGTTAAACATTTGCTATTTTATGTTTTTATATATTGTATTCTACATTTGTAAAACATTGCCCAATAAGGCTGTGATGCATTGTTATTATTTTATTCTCAATAAAATCCTTATCAATTCAATTCAATTCAATTATCATATTGCAAGCCTGTATAGCTGTAGCATCTGCCATCATTGAAACCTGATAACTCTCTAATCCATCTATTAGACTGAAGGAGTAGTAAGATGGCTGTATGCAGGCTTCACTTGTTTATTAGTGGAGTGCATCAATTAGCTATCCATTTGATAGACATCAATGGTACTTCACACACATTTACATGACCTATTCAGAGTGATGAGGCTCATTTATTACTTTGACCTTTGACCTCCCAATGCTGACTACATCATAACTTTACAGGGGTTAAGAAGTTTCAATTATCTTCAATCACCTAGATACGCCTTTCTGTGTAACACCTTGATTCACCAACAACACAGACCAGTGCATGAGTATTTATCCAAAGAATTATAGATTAGTCATGGTTTAGATCCAGACTGTAGGTCTATACGATTTTGTTTCCTTAATAATATGTATTAATCAGATCTATAGCATACCTGCCAACATTTGAAAATAGGAATTACAAATTTTTAGCATGGTATGCCTTCGAAAATAAGAAATCGCACTTGTTGCTGCAGTGTAATTGGCAATACACAGTTAATCTGTACCAAAAAGTGAATACAAATTCGCTGCCCGATCATGCAGCCATTCAATGCACACAATACGTGAACTCTCAAATCGCGGCACATGTTAAAACAAGCTTAATTTGGCTTTAGCACAAGCAAAATCAGAATATTCTGGATTTGTTAGGTACTAGAAATCAAGAAAATCAGAATATCCCAGATTATTTGTAAGGGTTGGCAGCTTTGCTATAGCATTAATCTTACTAATTAACATCCAAGAGATGCCACTCTGATCACACCAGACAATATAACTAATCCCACATTCCATGGTTAATGTTGTATCTCAGCCTACGAAGCATCATGATATAAGTTGAGTGTAGAGCATTACAAAACATAATAATGCTGGCTTAAACCATTTTTACTTTATGTCGGCACTCAAAACAAATATCTGTGCTAATATACATATATATAACACTATTAAAAAAAATACGTGTATAACTTTCATCACAAATGTGATATACAAACTACATACAAAAAGTTGTTGTCTTATGATTTCATATTGCGTTGATGAAATCCCTTTTAATGAAAATGGAACAGTCTCATAGAATGCAAGGTGAATACAATATGAAGCAGGATTGAGCAACGTACATCCATCAGACAAATTGTAGGGGTGTTATGAAGTGTTTGCTTGCGAGGGACTTCATGCACTGCCAAATGATCTGTAAATGAAGACCAGGAGAGAAAGAGAAAGAGAAAGGGAAAGCAGATAGAAAAGTTTAATTTGAATTTAAACCGCAGATTACCGTGAGGAAAGAATGGACTTTGTTGCATGCAATGAGTAAAGGAATGGTTACACAAGGTTTGTAAATTATCATGCATTTGATTTATTTATTTTGTCTGCTAATTTGGAAAACATTAATGAATACATTGAACGATATATTACAGTACATAGTATTAATGAAATTTTGGCAACTCCCCATTAAAGTTGTTGGTCTTTATTCTTCTCACTCGCCTCTTAGCTTGATATTTAGGAGAAAATTTAAATCAAATTTAAATCAAAGTTCTTATCACTTCGACCCATTACATAAGTCACTTTCAAGTTTTCCACAAGGCCATAGAACTTTAACATGGTATCCCCCAATGGGAATAGCACTGTTATACAATAAAATGTTAAGCATTAGTTTGACTATAAATTTAGCTCATGCAAATGCAAGGATGTTGGGAGCCACAATGTTGTTTTTGCTAATTTATTTCATCAAAAAATGACAAAATATCTTGAAATTGAAAGAAACATTATTCAATGGTCTATTCAAGAGATTTTCATGTTGATAAGTGTCATACAGGGCACGTTGCAAGGAGTTGATGAAATATAAATTGCTACGTCCCTATTTCAAATTTTGTTCTATAGTTTTAAAACAGTTTTTCAACAGATAAAACTGGGTCCAGTTGCATAAAACTTATCATTGATGGTAACTTCCATGGAATGCTTGATTTTGATTGGCTGTTGAGCAATGTTACCATCATAGTTACCATTGATGGCAGAGTTACCATTAATGGAAAGTTTTATGCAACAGGTCCCTGATAACATTTTCTCAGCTATAAATAGATTGTACAAAATGGAAGGCCGTGTCTTTTCATGTAAACAGATGAGATCACATATACGATGATTGTGAGAGAAGAAGGAGGGAATGGCTATGAAAAGATAGGAATGATGGATTGCTGCTTTACATCTGAAAATGAAACTCACTGCTTTGAGCATGCATAGGGCTTTAGGTGACATTTTAGTTGTTCCTAAGAAAAGAATCTACCGGTAGATGACTTCAACTTAATGATTCATATGATTATTTTTCATCATTGTATATAATCTTATCATAAGTCATGAGAAGAAAACAGAAAAAATTCTATCCCATCGTGGTGATAAGGCTTTTTGGCTATTATGGTTTTTCTTTCCTTCTTTTTCTGACCATACATCATTAACTTGAGCATATACATGTATTTAGTTTGGGATATCTGAATGAGAGACACTGTGGTTGATGACATGGACCATGATAAAAGTAAGAACCGTTTGTGAAAAATTGCTCTAAAATCTAAGTTTTATGGCCTGTACATCAAAATTGACTACACATTGTATTAAAGCTGGTATAATGTACAGAAGCTACACAGAGCAATATAAAGGAGCTTAAACCCTGTGGAAAATGTTCACTTCTTCAAGTTGAATACAAGATTTTGTCTTGATTAACATATTGAAGAGGGTATCCTTCAAGCTTCTATCCATCTATTCTAGGTAATTTACATAGAAAGGATGAACGGGGTTTATGACATTTTGGTAGGAAACCTATTCAATGTTCTAATATTTACATTGTTTCGACATCTTTATATTTAAAATAACATATAATGCACAATAACACCAACAATAATAATAATGATTATAACAATAGTAAGCCTATTAATTGTTCACAGGCTTTTGATAGTGGTGCTTGCTTAGTACACTCTGAGCTAATGGAATTTAGAGAGAGAGAGTCAAGACTGTGGAAGCTACTTTTGATTGGTCAATCATTTCATAAAGCTTCAACAGTCCCCATGGAGATTATTTGTGGGAGGGGCCTATTTGGAGCTCCATTATGATTGACTGTGTGTCACAGCTCTCTATATGCAGGGATGGGTGGAGATTGTGCACACATTGTGTGCGGGGGGCAAGCACTGAATCTAATGGCCGGGGTTATAGTATATCTGTAAAGAGCTTAAAGAGACATCGTAGATGTATTAGGCGCTATATAAAGCGGAATATTATTATCATTATTATTATGAGAGTGACACATTACAGAGAAATTCAAAAAAAGGAGGAAGATTAAATAGGGATCTGGGGGCAACGTCCCTGGTGGGGGTTAAGGGGGCAGCAACCCCTTACAAGGTCAGGGTTAGGGTTAAGGTTAGAGTTATAATTGTTTTGTTTTGTTTTTTTATTTAAAAAAAAAGAGAAAAGATCTTGAAATTTCGAAATCAGCTGAAACCTCTTCCCTGAATATGCTATAGTTCCCCCCTCCCCCTCCCCCTCCCCCTCCCCCCGATGGAGATCGTTTGTGGGAGGAGACTATTTGGAGCTCCATGATGACTGACAGCTCTCAATATGCTTACACTTCTTCCATTTGCAATTCCTCTAGTTGATCCTGGGGGTTGTAGAACACAGCATGAAGCATGACGAAGAAGAATGAGGCACCTACGGACAAAATCAGAATAATGGTCTAGATATCACTAACATAATAACAACAACAACAATAATAATAACAATATTAATATTAATACTACTACTACTACTACTACTACTGATAATGGCTTCTTATATAGTCGCACATGTACCCCACCTAGTGGGGCTCCTGGCGCTGGCCGATTATTACCCTGGCTTTAGCAAGGCAGCCATTATGGCACTCTAGCATTTCAAGGAATTAATTCCTGCCAGGTACCCGTTAACATCACCTGGGTTGAGTGTGGGAAATGTAGATCAATGTTTGTCACCTTCCTCACTATTTTCATTCACATATTGTAGAATTTAACACAGAAAATGTCCATACATGTATATGAATGATTACTCTAAAAAATACTTAAGTATTAATAAAAATAACACTGGGATATTGGACTCTCGTATTCTGATCGCCAGATGCCACGTCCCTGTAATCACTGCTAAATATCATTTTGAAATCTAACTCTATAAATGTCAGAAACTAATTAAGTTGTTCTCACTGGTGTTTTTAATCATAGTATCTCCTTCTATCACAAATATGCTCTCTCTGTTTCTCCTACTCTTTCATTTTCTTTCTCCTTGACCTCTTAGTTTGTTAGCGTGCAATGTTTTTCATTGATAGAAGGAATGTAATCATCTTTTAATTGTATATGCATTAATAATACTTTTTGCGACATCTTTTAACACGTGATCTGACATTCATTACCTACAATTTCATTATTGTAAAGTATTTTATGCAATTTGGTATTTAATTCAATATTATTCACAATTGCAATTTGTATTTGCAATGTATTTTAATCTCTGTTTAACATGTATAATTCAGTCTTTGTACTGTGAAACATGTTCAAATTTATAAACCTTAATTGAATTGAATTTAATTTACTCTTTATACAACATGACACTGTAGACCAGGGACAGTTTCACAAAGCCGTTTTTCAATGACAAATGACTAAAAGCAGTGACAAATTTGCTGATAACCAATCAAAAGCAAGGATTTCAGTAGCTTATAACAACAACTGTCATTTGTCAGTGATGACAAGTTTTGTGAAACGCCCCCCAGTAAATCTCACCTAGAACCCAGAAGACTGCTGATCCAGCACCAGCAAGGAAGAACAGAGGAATGGACAGCATTGCCACAGCACCATACTGCTGTATCAGCGTCAATTCATAACCTGGTCAAATGCAATAACAGAAAGAAGGTTATTGTTACATACAAAAGAGATATACAGTCAAAAATGTGGTCTTTGTAGACAGGTGGTCTTTTGTAGGTTCGGCCACTGCCCAAGGGATACAAAAAAGTGGTCTTTGTAGACAGGTTCCTTTAGTACATGTATCAATGAGAAAACTTTTTCAGGGGAAACAAAAAATGTGGTCTTTCTAGACAGTTAGGCACTAAAGCAGGTTTGACTGTATATACATGTATATAGAAAGATAGATAGAGAGAGGGCATGCTACAGCTCTTTAGTGCTATACTAGGGCAGGGACAAAATTAAGTTTTTCATTTCGTGGGCTCCATTTCAAATTTTCGGGGGCGACTTTTTCAACTTTCGGGTTTCTTTTTTTTCATTTTGGGGGCTCTTTTTTCTGGGGCTACTTTTTCATTAATTCATAAAAGGATAGGCCTACACTTTGTTGAGATTTGTTTAGTAGGCTAAGGTTTCGGGCTTCCTGCTTTATAATTACCTAACAAAGAAACCCCTTTTTCTAGTTCAATAACTAGACCCTAAGTTTTCATGCATTGATTTGATGCAAGAACTGTAACATAATAGACCCTAGATTGTGAGTATTTCTGGCCATGAATTTCGATAATCATTTTTCAAAGTAAAATTTTCACAAGAAAATCAGACAGTCGTTTAAAAACGTAGACATTAGTAATACTTTTACTAATTCTAAGCTCAGGTTTCATACATATATTCATGAAACTATATTGAAATCGCGGCAATAATGATGCAAACCAACATATAGCAATTTCAAAGTGTCAAATCTCTTCAACTCAAGCTCAGCTAGCTCAGCTCAGCTCAACTCACACACACTGCAGCGTAACTCCGGTGCCGGTGTTGAACTCGGAGCTTCCTGGAGTCCACTGCAGCGCAGCGTTACTTACCGTAAATAACGTTGTATAAACCGCCCTCGTGTATTAACCGCACCCCTCTTTTTCGCCCTTAAAAAAAAAAAAAAAAAAAAAATTTTTTTTTTTTTTTTTTTTTTTGCCGAGATTTTTTTTTTTTTTGTGTAAGATCATTACGGTACTGTAAATTAAAAAACAGTAGGGACCTAGGATAGAACCTTGTGGTACACCATGTAATAGAAGAAAAATTGGAGGAATTATTATTATAAACTACATATTGAGATCTATCAGAAAGATTACATTCAAACCAAGATGACAGACAAATTTGAGTGTTGTTCTAGTTTCCGAGTGGTGAGTCAACACACCGATTACCGAGCTGGGAGACATTGCCAGGCATAGCGCCAGGTGGAGGGGCATAAATTGAAACTTTAAAAAAAAAAAAAAAAAAAAATTTTTTTTTTTTTTTTTTTTGGTGTACCGTGTATAAACCGCACCCCCGACTTTGAAATTTTTTCGGCGGCAAAAAAGTGCGGTTTATACACCGTTATATACGGTACACTGTATTGTATGTGTGTCAGTCACTTTTTGTCTGATTTTGTCTGATTTTCTTTACTTTGAAGAAATGATTATCAAAATTACATAAACATGGCGAGAATAATCACAAAATAGGCTTTACTTTTATACCTCTATTCATGGAAACTTTACAAAATTGCGGCAATCGTGATGGAAATTGATTGCAGTCTCGCGATTAGTGGTCTAGGTTCAGCTAATATGATCTACCAAAACAAAATCGACCGCCAAAAACTCGACCCCTACGCTCCGTCTCGATCTCGCAACTGCGAAAATGTACATGTTTTGGCATACTTGCGTGCGACATGGTAAGCCAGGTAAGGTATGGAATATGGTTTGAGTTTTTTTTACGACTGATTTTTTTGTGTATAGAATTTTACACGGAGATTAAGCGTGCGTGTGTGTGCCGACACAATGAATACGAAGCTAGAAGAGAGCGCGCGGCCGCTGGTAATCGTTTGAGATCATTTCCTTTTTTTGATGTCGCCCCCAAAATTGGATTTTGGGCCTATTTCGGGGGCTGTTTATGGTGTTTCCGGGGCGAATCCGCCCTCCGCCCCCGTGTGTTTTTTTGGCTGTACTAGGGTAAATTCAACCTGGTCAAAATATAAGGAACACAAATTACCATACTGGTAGAGAGAGCAAGAAGGAGAGGGAGAGAGGGAGAGGGAGAGAGAGAGAGGGAGAGGAAGGGAGAAAGAGAGAGGGCAGGAGAGAGAGAGAGAGAGAAAAAAACAGAGAGACAGAGAGAGAGAGAAACAGAGAGAGAGAGAGAGACAGAGAGAGAGAAACAGAGAGAGAGACAGAGAGAGAGAAAGTCAGTTTGTAGCATAACAAAACCCAACACAATATTCCTACACCATGCATTTCAAAGTCAACACAAAATCAGAATGTATACTCACTTCCAATCTTGAGTTTTCTGCTCTGATTTTTCACATTGATCCAATAGAAAGCTCCAAAGAGAGCACCCAGAAAGATGATCAGCATCGGTGAAGTCATTCTGAACAAAATAACAAAAATATATCAAACTGATTGGATACAACTACTTATCATCGGCATGTACAGTCAAACCTGCTTTAGTGACTACCTGTCTACAATGATCACCTGTCTTCAACGACCACATTTTTGTTTTCCTTGAAAATGGTTTCTCATTGAAGCATACATGTACATAAAGACCACCTGCCTACCGGTATACTACTTTTTTGTCTCCCTTGGGTGGTCTTTATAGACAGGTTTCACTGTACAAACAAACTCCAAATCTGCCCGGTCTTGACGACTTGGCGTAGCGGGGGTACTGTAAATTCATTTTTGATCTGTTGTTGCTCTGGTATGGGTCTCATAGTGTTGACTGCCCTGGGGTATTTCAGCAGTCTACTTTCTTTCTTTCTTTTTTCATATGAAAGCATTTAAATTATTACTGTAAGTGAATCTAATGTTTAATATTGATTAAGACATGTTTATGTGCACTAGAATTTAACATATATACATAAATCAAAACAGTTTATCTGACTTTCAGGGGTGGGGGGATTTTTTGAGAAATTGTGATCAATTTTGAAATTTGAACTTATGATGAATAATGAAAACATAAAACAAATGAATCAAATTGAGTCTCGATACTACAGAAATCATTGAAGGGCAAATAAAAAGCAACCAGGAGGAATCTTCTTTCTAAAATACACAAGAGCCCCTGAGTGAGAGCATATGGTACAGTATATATTACACTGATACTTTACCTACGACTTTGTGTTACTTACATACAATAGATAGCGAGGATGATGAACACAAAGAGATAATTGCTCTGGAAATGCTCGATGTTTTTGACCACCCTAGTGCCTGCTACAGCCACAGATGTAGGCTTGGTAAACCGAGATGTGCTGACGAATGTAGACCATGGCTGAACCGTTTGACGGTGCTTGGTGATCCATTCTCTGGCTGATGACCCTGATAACTTCATAGCTGCCATACTACAAAAAACAAAACAAAAACAATAATTATATCTCTGTTAGTGCGAAGATACACAGTTGAAGTACATACATGTACATGTACAACCCTCTTACAATAAGGCCTAAAAAAAGATGTCGTATTGCCCTTTAGGTGCCGAAACATGAGTCGGTCGGTCGGAAATCTTTTCTTCTTTTTACATTTTTTTTTTTTCCCCTCCCTCTTTGGGCTGATATTTCTCAGTTTTGAATGCTCTAATATTTTTTTTCTCTAAAAAACTAAAAAAAATCATAATTAAAAAATTAAAAAGCTGACCGTAGATTTCAAGATTTTGGGGTCGGTCACAAAGGGCTATACAACATCTTTTTTCTTTAGGCCTAATCATTCCACATTTGGTCTAGAAATTTTTTTAATTCACAGCCCTAAAAAATTATGCAAGATGCATGAGTGGAAATATGGACAATTTCAGCATCTATTTCTGTTCATGACTATTGCATTCGATGCCAGAAATAAAACAAAATATAATAAGCTTTAAAATCCATGAATTATCAATTGAAAATTATTGTTTTTTCACTCAAAATTGGCAATTTTTTGCAAACACTCTCGTCCATGTTCATGTACATGTACTGTATATTGTTTTCAGAGACATTACATTTTATTTTAACAAACTGAAGAACAATAAATATTGAATTTAGTCCTAAAAGGGACAAGGCAGAATTCCTGATTTTGAGTTTCAACACACTGATAGTGATAGCTGTAGAACTTAAGCCTAAAACTGGAAGGGATACAAAATTCAGAATCTTAGGCCGCACATGACATGTAAACAATAGACGTGGGGTAGACAGTTACAATTCCCATGCTTTTTACTCTAAATATCAATATTTTCATCAAGTCAGCATCAAATTGGCAATATCGGTACACAATATGCCTTTTTCGTACACTAGAATGTTATCTAGTAGTCCCCACAGGAGATCGTCAGAGATCAACAAAACAAAAAAAATAATCAAACTGCATTCCACATAATCATTCCACGTAAACTGGCTCCAAATGCAAGGAACTAAAGTAAGTACCGTAAGCTAAGGTCTGTCGTTCGTGCAAAACTATAGCTACCCGGTATTTTCAAAATGTGTTGCATGACTAATGCAATATCCTCAAGTTAGAATAGAGTATCTACATGTAGATCTTTGAGTTTGATCGAAGAGGCACAAGTAAAGTCTCATGAAACATATTTCTTGGACTCAATCATGTCAGTTATTCAATCACATGATATTGAGTGATATGTACAATGATAAAATTAGACAGATAGCGATTGGATTGAATGTCGGGACGCCGATTTTGACCCATGATTTCCTAAAAATGGACCATTAAACGGATTATTTCAGTCAAGTTGGTAAGTGGAACACCTGTGGCGGTATGGTCGGCTTCTGTCTCTAAAGAGAGAGCAGACCCTATTGTCATGGCAATATTCATTTTCATGTTCACTGTTTCGGAGGTAGTTTCCGTCTCTAAAGAGAGAGCAGACCCTATTGTCATGGCAATATTCATTTTCATGTTCACTGTTCACTGTTTTTGACCCATGATTTCCTAAAAATGGACCATTAAACAGATTATTTCAGTTAAGTTGGTAAGTGGAACCGAAGTAGTTAAGCCTAGGCCTATAGGCCTAGCTAATTTACAATATAAAATGCAGCGGATATGCATCCTGTGAAAGGAGTAATTTTCGGGGATAAGTTTTGCAAGTTTGGTGCACTGATTTACACACCTGTGGCGGTATGGTCGGCTTCCGTCTCTAAAGAGAGAGCAGACCCTACCCAAATAAGAGGCTTAACGAACGAAAGAGACAGAAAATTCGGTCTAGATGCATTCAGCATTTATCAGGTGATATTATCACAAACCGTCTGTCATTATTTCATTTATATTCTCGCGTTCGGTTTAATAAATCATTACATTAATTAATGGGCATGGCATAAGTCCTGATATAAAAACTTGTTGTATTGCCCTTTGCGACCGACCCACAAATCTGAAAATCGACGGTCTGCATTTAAAAAAAGTTTTTTTTTAAACCGTTTTTTTTTCGATTTTTTTTTTTTATTAATGAATAAACAAAATATGTATTTTGTTTGTTTAAATAGATCTAGGATATAAATGCTTAAAATCAAATTATTCCAAAATTTGAACTCGTGCAAACCATGGATAATCATGAGGTGAAAATGATATGAATGGAATGATGACGCTGACACACATGTATTAAAGCATTAAAAAACTGAGAAATATCAGCCAAAAGAAGAGGGTTGGAAGAAAAAAAAAACATTAAAATCTGAAAAATATCGGCCCAAAGAGTGCGACAAAAAAAAGTTTTTAAAAATATTTAAAAACATCTGACCGACCGACCCATGTTATGGCACCCAAAAGGCAATACAACAAGTTTTTATGGCATACTCGTGATATAGGCCCCGCAACTGTTTTGAATCGATTATAATTTTATACTAGGCTTCTAACTTCAGCCAACTCACTATATATACTCGTGATCTAAGCCCCGCGCAACGGCATCGCGCGCACTTCAACAAAGCAGCGGGGCCTGTATCACGACTATACTTATATACTTGTTATATAGGCCCCGCGCTACGGCATCGCGCACAATTCAACACAGCAGCGGGGCCTGTATCACGAGTATATTATACAAGTCTCCTATTCAACTCGCTATATATACTCGTGATATAGGCCCCGCGCAACGGCGTTGCATGTTCTACAACACGGACATTGGGCCTGTATCACGACTATACTGTATACTCGTGAACAAGGCCCCATCCTATGCATTTTCAAGACGGACAGCACGGAAGTGGGGCTTCTTACACCGAAGTATAATTTAGGGGGTGTTTTGAGGTTTAATAAATAGAGCTAGCAAATGATAAAAAGGTCTAAAAAAGGGTTACATTTAAATGATTAAATTTATCTTTTAGACCCTATTTTAATATTTTTCCTTTTTAAATATTTTACCTTTTTAAATATTTTTCCTTTTTTAATATTTTTCCATTTTTAATATTTTCCTTTTTTAAAATAAATATTAAAAAAGGATGAGACCATCACGATACCCAAAGATACTCCTAACTTCTGATATCCATGGTGATAGACCCCGGGGCAGACCAGCCAAGAAATGGATAGATTGTGTAAAGGCCGACTGTGCTACTAGATGTCTGGGATCCCTCACAGAAGCGACCAGAACATCACAAGACAGGAAGATCTGGCTTGACGTCATGAAGCAGAAGCCATCACACATCTCCCAGATGGTGCGGAAGGCTTAGGCTAGGCTAGGCTAGGCTATTGTGGCCCCCTCTCTTTGAATTTATCTTCTTTTTTTTGGGGGGGGGGGCAGCCCCCTCCCCCCCCCCATGGCTACGTGCCTCCCCCTCCTAATTATTATTTAAAAAATAAGTCCCTTTCAACCCCCTTTTTAACTCACTTTTATCTCCCTTTTATTGCTGCCCGTCATGAAAATGTTGGCTGAAGACTCTTTAAATTTATCTTTTAGTTAAATATTTTTCCTCTTTTAATTTTTTTTGGGGGCCAGCCCCCCCCCCCCCCCCCCCCCCCCCCGTGGCTACGTGCCTCCCCCCTCCTAATTATTATTTAAAAAATAAGTCCCTTTCAACCCCCTTTTTAACTCACTTTTATCTCCCTTTTATTGCTGTCCGTCATGAAAATGTTGGCTGAAGACGTAAGACTGAAGTTAGAAGTCTAAGATGATTTGTAATCGATTACAAGACGGGTAAGTTGCGGGGCCTATTTCACGATATTGCCGTTTTTATTTTAGGCCTAATGATGATCATAATAATGTCATCTGATCAAACACGAGCATCTGATCCAGTTTGCATCGGTCTTGATCTACAGAGTCCAGACCAAAGCCAAGGACCATGGCGCCACTCCAGCAAAGCGAGTCAATGCTTATGCGTATTGACCTCTAGCATTGAACTACGAGTTAATAGGCAGCATTTGAAAACATGAATAGTCAATACACTCACAACACACAGATGCACACCATTTTGCCGATGCGACTGATCGGCAAATTTGACAGTGGATTCACAATTTGAATTTTTAAATTATTCTTCCTAACATCGGAAAGTTGAAAAATTGTATTTTACTGCTATTTAGGTGTCATCAATTGTCACTAAAGTACCGATTTTGAGTAAAATCAGTTGAGTTTTGTACAGTGGTATTTGAAATGTCGAGAATCAATAGCACAGCTTTTAATACACAGCCAGGATAGTACCAGTGATGCACCTCTGTGTGAGGATGATGGCAGATCAGAGTTACAGAGAGTTAGCTTACCCCGTATTTTGCAGTACAGCGGGTACGTCCATGTTTCCTTCTAACTTAATATCATTCATCTCGATTTCCACTTCACTCTCTTTCTCTGACTGTGGAACAACCTTGATCTCTTCCGCCATTTACAGGATAGTAAACAAAGGAAAATTATGTGACAGAAAAATGGGCGATGTCAAACTCTCTGCCAACGCAACAACTTTGACAATAACACTTCTATAGCCTCAAGCCAGGCTTTTGTGAGTTTTCTCTTTTTCGTAAGAGGCAGCAGTAAAAAAATTTCGGACATAAAAATGATTACTCTTGTAGAAGTCATAGGTTATTCCTTACTCCTCCCTAAAAAAGGGTCTTAGATTGTTGTTTATCCTTATGTAACGAATGGGATGATTTAGCACTACAAGGTAATGATTGTGCGAGTACAGAATACCCTGATAGCTCCTTGTAGCTAAACTAGTACCACCCACACAAAACAGTTCTCTATCAATAGATGGCGCTAGAGTTGCTGAGCTGTGCAACGAGCTGTGCGTATAATTATCTCAAGCGACAAAACTGAATTGAAACCCGGGGGGGGGGGGGGGGGGGGGGGGGTGGGGGGGGGGTACTCACATATAAAGACATACGGAGGTGTACCACTCTAATGGGTAACTTTAAAAAATAAAAACAACCTAAACATGGGTCCCACTTTTAACAAAAATATAATTAAAAATGGGTCCGTTTTTTTCAAAATTTCATGGTGTTTGCATTAACACCTGAAAATTGTGAAAACACCCAATTTTTTTGAAAAATGTCCCCAAATACCCCCTAATAATGGGTATGGGTTTCGAGGCTTGAGCGGCACACCCCGTCCGAACCAAACCAAATATGAGTATCCCCCCCCCCGGGATTGAAAAAAATAGTGATCAAAATAGGGGGGCCATGAGGCCGCCCCCCCCCCCCCCCCCCCTCCCCGCCAAAGAAAATAAAAGAGAGAGAAGGAAGGGAAAGGGATAAAGGAGAGCTAAAAGGGAACAAAAAGGAGGAAGAAGAAAGAAAAGCTCAGGTCAAAAAACAGTTGGGGACCAGTTGGAATCTAATGTTAATTAAATCTAATGTTAATTAAAGAATTTAAGAATTGGAATCAACTAGTACTGGTACCAGTTGATTCCAGTTAAGTGAACTGGTTGCAGTTGCAATTGATTTTAATGTTAATTAAAGAATTTAGAGATCGTACATAGATTATATACAAAATTATACATGTTTTTACTGGTTATTAATTACATATATTCTTTGCATCTATCTGTACGTCTTAAATTAGATGTAAAATATGATCAGACATTATATATTATACTTGTCAATAATTGACTAAGAAAATATAAATCACAAAAACATTTGCTTGACAAGTCATGGTAATTATATTTTCTGTGAAAATATGCAAATTAAGCATGAATATGCACAATATACAATGAACTAGTTTTCAACTGGTAATCTACTGGTTTCAACTGGTAAATCAACTGGCAATCATCTACAAGTTTCAACTGGTAATCATCTATTGGTTTTCAACTGGTAAATCAACTGGTAATCATCTACTGGTTTCAACTGGTAATTCAACAGGTAATCAGCATTTGTTTTCAACTGGTATCTCCTGGAAACAACTGGTCTCAAATGGTCCACTCTGGTTTTATGGGTTTTAACCTGGAATCAACTGGTAGATGTACCTTAAGGCCTATTGTTTTTAACTGTTATCAACTGGTGTAACAGTTTAATACCAGTATGGCTAATTGGTTTCAACTGGAATCAACTGGTTGTTTTCAGCATGCCAGTAGGGTCAATAGGGTCAGTTGCGATTTTTTTCCCGCCAACAAGGTGTGGATCGGGGGGCCCTGCCCCCATCCCCCCTCTCAGTAAAAGAGAAAAAGAGAGAGAGAGAGAGAGAGAGAGAAAGAAAGAGAGAGAGAGAGAGAGAAGGAAGGGAAGGAAATGGGAAGAGGAGAGAAAGGGAAATATTTTTTTTTTTAAAGAGGAAGAAGAACAAAAAGGGGAACAGATATGCTTTTGCGCCGCTTTCGGCCCCCGCCCCCTCGAAGACAAAGCGCCATATACACCACTGTACACCACTGGTGTACTGATGAGATGGGGCCCCCATTTTTTTATTTTTTTAAAATTTGATTTAAGTCGTGGTTTACAAATAACGTGAAAAGCTTCATTTTCCGGGATTCTTCCTCACCTTTTTTGGTACTTTTGTATGCGTATGTTAGAAATTGACAAATTCCCAATGTACAGTCAGGCAAGAAATATGCTTATTTAGAGGTCTACTCTTGTCAGGGGCCACGGAACGGCGTGGCTCGGGGGGTTCGAGCCCCCCCCCCCCCACGACACACTTTTTTGAAAAACAATATATTAAAGAGAAGTAGAAAAAAAAGAAAGAGGAAAAAAAAACGTGTAAAAACACGTTAATTTAACCTTTTTATGGAGATGGGGGCCCCATGGCGTTCAAAGAGGTGGGGGGGGGGGTGCGCGATTTTTCAAATTTTCGAGGGCCCCCCAAAAAATCAATGTGCTCACTACACCGCCCCCCCCCCCCCTCCCCACTGAGCGAATTTTTGGTCGGCGCAATTTTCAAATTTTCGAGGGCCAAACAAATCAATGTGCTCACTACACCCACCCCCTCTCTGAAATTCAGTCCCTGTGGAATGTAATGGCCTGTTGAATGGTTTCTCAGTAAAATCGTCATAAATCCTCAAATCTGACATTTTTTTTAAAGAAAACTATACTATGATGTAGCTGAAAGTCTGCAAATTCTTATCATTTGATCGTTTTTTCTGAATAATTTGTGAAAAAAAATTTCTGAATAATTTGTGAAACATATATGTTTCACAAATTATTCAGAAAAAACGATCAAATGATAAGAATGAGGAAATAGCTGTAACGGTGATACATGTAATTTCCATCGCCATAATTTATTGGCATTGCAAAATGTTTGGAATTATTGTTAATATTTGGTGTAAATATGATCTATACATATATGATTTAAAAAATGCCAACAAAATGAACAGTTTGACTTTCCTATATATATATATATATATATATATAATTAGCTGAAATGACCTAATTTGCATATTTGATGAATATTCATAATTTTTTTTTCTTCAAAAAAAAAAATAATTTCCATACCTGTCTAATATACATAGGTTTCACTGATGTATCATATTCGGTTTTGATTTGATTTCGTATGCGCATATTAATTAGGCGGACTTAGTTATTTTCACAACTTTTTCATATCTGCAGATTCACAAAAATGGCAAAAATGACTTATTTTGTTTGCTTCTGTTTTCAAAACGGTAACAGATAATTTATGTGAATTTTCTTTTTTGTATTTTTTATCACAAAGATGATATTTTAGTGTCTGATAATTTATTATTTGTGTCCAAGAAAGTGATGAATTAAGTTGTCAACTTTGTCGAATTTTGCCATTTTTGCCAATTTGACCATTTCTGGCAGGTTTTTCGGTAATGTTGCGATATTAAAAAATATGGTTTAAAATCACAACGCATTGACCGATTTCAATTCTGTTATTTTGTTTTTTGAAGCTTTCATAAAGCTTGATCATTTGCAATCATCAAATAACATGTGTTTGTTGTACTTATTTTTGGTGTGCTACACCTACTAGTACTAGTTTTTTTTTTTTTTTTTTTTTTTTTTTTTTTTTTTTTTCTTCTCTGTTTTGTTGTTTTTCTCGTTCCAGTTTGCTTTTTTCCTCTTGATCCCTTTGTATATATTTTCATCCTCTCCTTTTCACATTTCAAGCTATCCCTTTTGTAAATATTTCCCCCATATTTAATCATGTGTAGTTTTTGATAACTTTGAAACATTTTTAAAAGTGAAACATTAATGGATTATGTTATATGGGGACCTTGCTCTTACAAGCCCAGCTTTTCTAAGGTCTCCACTTTCTTTCATTTGGATTATATATCGACTTAAAATTGCACTTAAATTGTTTTTTCTTATGCTGTTTTTTGTTCTATTATTATATGTAAAAATGTTGTGAAAGAAAGAAATAAAATGAACCATGAACCATATACGAGTTGGCAAATCTATGCAAAACGGGGTGAGACGCTTGCCCTCTACGGTTTGAAATTGACATTCGGGAATTCCCCTGTGACGTTATGCTGGAAAACTCCAGTTTCGCGTAGGAGATCGATGGATGATGATTATTATTACTACACTTTTATACGATCACGACCAATTAAGATGGACCCTCGTATTGGCAGTCTCTGGCTTATCGCGACATGTGTGGGTATTGTTATGATATCATGCTACATTTCAGGTAAGAGATTCCACCATTATTGTTAACCAGGGCCAGGCTGTCAACTTTTACTTTGGGGAACTAATTGGCCCATGCTCCTACTACTAGTAGTAGTACAGTGCATGAAGTTTATACCGCGAAAGGGTGCGGTTACTAGTCTTCCACATCAGTCGTTTATAAAAGAGTTCAAGGAATAATTTAATTTCAATTCAGAACTTTGTTTATTTCAGACTCAGCTGCACAAGGCAGAGGTCCATAAAACATAGGTTACATAGATATATAGAGAATTAGAGCGAAGTATAAACATGATGAGTATAATAACAATGAATCTGACAAAGAGTATATAACAAACTAACTCCAACTTCTAAGCTGTAGAGCCTACCTGTACTTATTGTAAGATTGAAATAAGTACATGTATAACAATTATCTTTTGAAGTTGTTACATGTAACAATCTCTGCTCAACTAACCAGAACAATATACTGATAATAGATAACTATTATAACAAACAACAAGGACTATATACTGCACCTATGAGAGGCTGACTGTCCATAGTCCTTGGTAACACCAACATCGACGTGAACAATTCCCATGTGTCAGCAGGCTATTCAGCCAAACTTTCCAGAGGCCTGATGTGTACCTAAGACAACTATAGAAAGTTAAGTAATTTTAAAATTGAAATAACAAAGTTGTAACAGATTGAAAATAAAATGATGTTGTTTTAGTTTTTATTGGTGTGTATCATTTATTTATGAATATTTACGCCGAATTCAAGTTGCATTAACAAAATTAAATGGAAGCCGAAAAGAGAAGGGGAAAACAATCTTAGCTGTTCAATTTTTCGCATTTTGCAGAGATTCCAGATAGGCTGTCTACAAAATCATTGACCGTTTTGTATGTATCTTCTGGCCAGTCCGGTTCAGTACATTGAACAGGCTTCTCGGCTTGCATGATCAAGGCAGCCATA